AGGTCCCTTCCAACTGAAATAGTTTATTCTATTCTACTTCTCTTGCTCTAGTTTAAATATAATGTTGGCTATTTAGGTAGCTATTTTTTTTTAATGTTAGTGCTGAAATTTTGAACTACTTAAAAGCTACTATGCTTCTTTAAACCCTCCTAAGTGTTCACCGCTTGAGTGTGCCAGATGTTGATGCTTGTACAAAGTAACTGTAAACCAAGGTTTAGATCAATGGCATTTTAATACTTGCATTGGAAGATGAGCAACACGTAGAATTGGCGAACAGTTTGCCAAAAACTGTCACGTTTATGTGTCTAGAATTTGTTTGGAATGTTGAAGAGGATTTCAAGCCTGTTCCAGATAATTGGATTCCAGCAAAGGACATAGAGTTCTCTAATGGCAATCCTTTGCCCGATGAAAACGGACATATGCCAGGTACCTATGATGCAGCACAGGTAACATGATAGGGGGGATCCATTTTTTAAGTGAATTAGAATTAGTTCCACAGTTAAAAGTAGTAGTAAAGATATTCAGAAAGCAATTGGAATGTCATTCATTCACTATTCAGAAAGGCTTTGTTCTTCTGACATTGAAAATAATTGCAGCTTGCTCTACAGTCTTTCAGGGCTTCAGCTGAAGGCATAGTTGTCACATTTGCATTCCTCTGACATTTCTCTGAGATACAACGTAGTTTTTCTTCCTACTCTGTCTGTAGTTAAGGGTGGGGTTTTTTTAATGCATGTACAGATCTAGTACGCATATGATAACGTCACATATTTACTTTGGTAAAATGCAATGTTGTCTTGTAGGTTGGGTGCCTGTGGAGAAAAATAGTAAGCAGTATTGCTGGCACTCATCTGTTGTAAATTATGAGGCTGAAATAGCACTCGTATTGAAACACCATGCTGACCCAGGGCTTCTGGAAATCAGTCCGGTGCCATTATCAGAAATTTTAGAACAAACATTGGAGCTTATTGGGACTAATATTAATGCAAATCCATATGGTAAGTTTGTTCGGTCTGTACTTAAATACTTATTTACTGATATTTTGAGTGAAAATTATGTATTTTCTTTAAGTTAAAAAAACTTCAACGGTAGCAACGTAACCTTTCTACAAAGGAGAGAAAGGGCTAGCTCAAAGAATACTCACCCAAAAAAACTCACCTCAGAAACCTGAATTTTCCTGAGACTGTTTATATTAAACCTCTTTCCACCTGCATGTTATTTAAGAGTTACTATAAAAATGCTTTGGTTTTAGTCTTTCAAAAAATATTCTGAATGGAAAAGTTGTTTTAAATATTACTACTAAAATATTAAAATATTTTTTAAAGATTATTAGTTGGTGCCTTTTCTTGCTTTTACTTGCTCTTTTTATACTGTTTAGTCCATTAAAGTAGAAAATTTTATTCAGCCACTTTTTTCAGTCTCTAGAGTTAGTCATAAGTTGCATTTTTAAATTATGAAACATTATGAATTTTTTTAAAAGAAATGTAATTTAAACTAAATTTTGGTTGTGGCTTTTCCCTTTAAAAACCTTATAACAAAAAAAAAAACCAATTAGGTATGAGCACAAGTGAGTTCTAACTCTTGAGCCTTGCTGTTAGGATAACTTGCAAGAATGGATAGGAAAAATAGTAGTACCTGGTCTAAGCATTTTCTCAGAATGTAAAGGAACTGCAACAAAAAAAATCTAATAGCTGCGTTCTTAGATGAAGATTTATGCTGAAGAGTCAGTGAAGAGGCAAGGCATTTATTAACAGCCTTGCTTAAGTATAAATCCATATTCATAAGAAAATACACCAGATTTTCAGGAACTAAGATGTTTGTGCTATTGATCATGATCTGAAGCATGAAGAATTTAACTAGTAGCTTTATTGTTACTGAGGAGGTGACCACAAGGACAAAGCAGACAACTGTATAAATCTCTGTGTCATGTTTATTGTATATAAAGTTACATGAGGAGGAGACAGCTACATTTTATACTTAAAAGTATATTTACCTGTTCTCTTAAAGGCAGGACAATGTTGTAGTACCTAATAGAAATCTTCCTTTATAGAGTGCTTTTAAGATAGCCCTAATAACAAAAGTGAGGAAAATCTTATCACACGTAACTAGCAGGAAGATTTTTGTTTCTTTTAACGTAGGGTTAGGAAGCAAGAAGCAGCCTGTACATCTTCTTGTACCACATGGAGCATTTGAAATAAAGAATCCACCTGCTTTGAAACAACATGACATACTGTCTTGGTTTGAAGGCTGCAGCGAGGGTAAAGTTGAAGGAATTGTGTGGCACTGCCATGATGGGTGTTTAATCAAGGTAAATATATAGATGGACATGTGGAAAGCACTATAATAATTCATAATATGTGAAGTATTGTGAGGTATTCACTTTTTGGCTTGTTTTCAAAATTCTTTAGTAGTAAACGTTCTCCTAGCAAATCAGGTGACAATAGAATTAGTCAAGTCAGTGAATCACTACAATGACAACATATGAAACTTTTTCATTATTTACATTATGCTAATAATGTAATTGAGAACATAAAATACTATTTTCTTGCCTCTCTGCATAGAAATCACTCAACACTTTAAAGCTTATTTTACCTAAAAAATTCATTTTTGTAATGATGACTTACAGAACAAGTATTGTTAAGAAGTTATTTTTATTAATTAGCAAGTTTATATTGTAATTTCTGAAGCTGTGGAGGACACCTTGGGTCTGGTTTGCCTGTTGTGCTTTGTTGTTGCTCATGTTATTCAGATAACTGATCAATGGCTGTAAGTCCCCTAATGCAGAGGATGCTAGAATTAAAGCACACACCACCACAGCCCCTGGGTTGGTAACTGTTGGGCTACAATACCAAAATCACTAAACTGACCTTTCTTTCTTTTTATTTTAGCTCCATCGCCATCATCTTGGTTTACGCTGGCCCCTTGCAGAGACATACTTGAATTCTCAGCCTGTTGTAATTTCTTTTAATAGAACTAAGTATGACTGTGACTTTGAACCAAAGAGTTTGTTTCACCGTTTTTCAAACTTGGATGGTCAAAGATTTGACAGACTCAAAGATATCAAGTTTGATGTTTGAAATTATTTTTCTCTTTGAAGTTAATTGTCGTATGTGCTGCATTCCTCTTCTTGTGTCTACCACAGAACTCTTCACAAATAATCTTCTAGCTTAGGCAGCAGCCTAGGTACTGTACAAGTTTAAGATTTTCCTAAATGACTGTTTTTATATAATGAGATCCGACATCCAGAGCAGAGATCTAGCTTTCAGCATGTTTATTTTCAGTTCTGAAAAATCCTTAACTTTTGAACCCATTTCTGGAAACTGTTAAAATTAAGTGTAAAAAGTATGTTGTCTAACACTGGCTGGTCCTAATAGCTTAGCTAATGAATGCAATCAGCTGTAAATGTTCCATAGGTTGCACTTCTATAAATATAATTATGATGACAGTGTTACATGTAGGATTCAGATTTAGGATCTAGTTATTTCTTAACAGTAAAGGGCATACTTCAGGTGGGACCAGAATTAGTCCTGAAATTTGTTGGGGGTTTTTTTTGGTAAAGTTTTAATGATTTCTTTTGGAGAAAAACTTTTCACTGTATTATTTAACTGGTAAGCTGCAGCGTTATGCTATTACTTGAAAACCTAATTAAGCTATATCCTACAGGTACTTCCACTATTTTGGGACAAAAAGAGTAAATAGTAGAAAGTATAACAGTTCTATTTGGAGAGAGACATGACTTGGCTTAATAATACCCATTTTCAGACTGCATCTCAATTAGGAAACTTCATCAAGGGCATATTAAGTAAGATGGCATATAAATAATAAAGAGACTGCACAATGGTTTGAGTTGGCTGTATTTTATCTGTGCTATAAAACTATACATTCAGCTGTATCAAATATACAAAATGAAAAATCATTTATCTACAAAAATACCATTAGTTTGGCTGAAATACTGTAACTTTCAGTTCTTTCTTCTTGGATTTTCTAAAATTGAGGTAAAAATAACCAGGGATCTAAGAACAGACATGCAGCACAATGACCCTGAGTCCATAGTTAAGAAGTATGACAGCACAAGACAGCAAGAACAAATTACATATTCTTAATGATCAGAAACTTAGCATACTTAGCACATTTTAAGAGTTTCTCAACTTTTAAGATAAGTCCAAAGTTTCAACTTCACCTGACACCTGTGTATTACCTAAATTACTGTTCTGAATTAAAATATAATATTGCAAAGGTGGGATATTGGGAGAAGTAAATATCAGGTGGAATAGTGGGAGAGGTAAAACTCACTTTTATTTTGACTGGTGTATATAAATACTGACCATAATCTGTTGACTAATCCAATTCTGCACTTGTATGTGCCAGACTATTGTAACTTTAATAGACTTGTGTAACTGCCCCAGAATTTATTTTCTGTATCAATACTGAGGATGCTAAACACTAGCCTAATCAACAGAAACGTTGCCTGGACTATCCACTTGAATGCCAAACTCTTCAGAAAGCTGCTTTATTTTCTCTTCTAAGATAATATTTTTTTTTACTTCTTCATTGTAGTTATATTTCAGATCCTCAATTTCTTCAAAGAAGGAAGGGCCAAAGTTTTCTAGTTCTCTTCTCAGCTTTTTTGTTTCTTCCTATTAAAAAGAATGGAGTACCAGCTTTATCCAGAACCTAGGAACACACATCAACAGCAGCTTTTTTGGCCTTTTTCATAAGAGGCTAAATGATGAGAGAATAGGCACGTCTCTACAGACACAAAAATCTACCCATGGACAGCACATTCACTAACAGCAAAATAGGCTTTGTAAATATAATGTTTAGAAATTGACTTTGTCATTAAATATTAGTTTAGATATTAAACAGATCTTTCTAGGTAACCATAATTCTGGTCATTATCTTGCCAAGGATGATCCTTGCAACTCACCTTTAATTGCTGGTTTTCCAACTCTGAGGCTTCCAGCTGTGTCTGGAGGTCAGCCACTTCTGTCATTAACTTGTCATTTTTATCCTTTTCTACAATTTCATCATGTCCTGTAAAAAATAATAATTTGTTATGAAACTTAAGGGAATGAAAATCAATTACATGAATAATCTTGTTACAGTAATTCTGCATCTCCTGAAAGCTGAAACAGTTTAAGTATGTAAACCCAAATGGGATCAACAACCACCAAGAATTCAAGTAATCTGGGCTTTTCTTTAGTTCTTGTACAAATTCAGTGGCAGTGTCTAGTTCCTGTAACTGAATGCAGTAGTCCCATGGCCAGTCTCTCAGCATACTTCTGAGAAACACGACATGTACAGTTTCTCTGAATTAAATGCAGGAAATTTGGAAATAATGTAGTATAAGGATCTTGTTAATTGTATTCGTAATTTCAAGAGGGTTAATTTTTTATTTTTTTCCCCAGTTATATAGCAATGTACTGCTCTACAGTGCTCTACTTTTCCCATGGGACCGATGCCTGCTAAGTGGTGTCTTAAATCATTCGCAGAGCTGGTATTGGGAAATTGGCAGCTTGGAACCCAAGGCAAAAGGGGTAGGCAAGAGCATTCAGTGAACGACTGACATCTGACAAGCAATCTTTTGAGCGTTATAGAGCAAATGGTGGCATGAACTACACCACTTCTTGGAAAGGGACATCTCACAAAGGTTACAGCCTCTTGTTCAATATAATTAATTATGGAGATTTTTACTAACACTTCTCTGTAAAAAGCTTGTATAAGTACTCAAAAATCCAAGACTGTAGTCTGCTCCAGTTCACACTACTCTGGCATTAATGTAATTCAAATAATTCTGTAGATTTTTTACCATTTTGCACACACATATTAAGTAAAAATAGTTTTAGGCCCAAAATACAAGAAGATTTTTATTTTAGGTATTGAAAATGATTACCGGCTGCAGGACCTTCACTTGTATATGTATGTATGTGGTGCTTATAATCCTCCACCTGGTAAGCTAGTTCTGCTTTTTCTTTCTCTAATCGATTATTAGTTAATCTGGAACATAAAACAATTTTAGAATAACTTAAAAAAATTGAAATATTTTAGTATGTAAAATATATAACTAAAAATTACAATGGCCATTTCCTGTTTGTTCTTATTTCCTGTATATTGGCTGAGGTATTTATTTAGTTATTTAAAAGTACATTACCTTAATAGCTGAAGCTCCCTCATAAGGCTTTGCTCTGTCCTTGCACCTTCAGGAAAGCATTTGAGAAGCTCAATCTTAAAACAAAAGTTAAAAGTTTTACTCTTGAAAACAGTATCCATGGATAATGCAGTTCAGATGGAGTTCTCTTTGATGCAGGATTACAGAATGAATGAAAATAATACTAAAGATGTAACCAAGTACTGGGTTATCACAGAGAAAAAAAAACCAAGTGTTCATCTAGTGACAGTTTCCACAAAGCTAATTATCTACAGTCTTTTTAAAGTTAGTATAGATCATTGCTACATATTTCATGAAGGGTGAAGAAAGAAGTATTCAAAAGTTAGATTTACAAAGAAAGTTAGACACAAAGCTACGTTAACATAATTTATACATATGCTTAAGGAAGTGATACGCCTAAATCATTTAAGTGCTTTAAAAATACTAGTGATGTGTTTATTTGCATACCTAGGTGTCCAAGTTCCTTTTTAAACATCATATGAAAAGCCTGTGATTTTGCAATGAAACCCCAAATGAGTGTATGCTGACTAGAAATGATCGGCAGTCATAAGTTAGAACATGTCCCTGGCCAGAGAGGGAGTTAGTCTCATATTTAAAACACTAATTTTTTGTACCTGCATCTTCTACTGAAAGGCACTTAATAGAGGGTATTTACGGTTTTTGAATGCAGTGACAATTTATGAACTCTCACAAGGCTACTGTTAGTGACAGGCTTTTGTTCTATTGCTACCTAAAATGGTAAGGATTTGGGGTTTTTCACACTCAATCTCTGTAGTTAACCTTGACCACACCCCTTCATCAGTATTTGAGACATGAAAGAAACTAGAAAGTGTGTTGCTCCAGAGTAATAATGAAAGCACTTTATCTCTCTCTCAATTTTGCTGCTGGTACACACTTCATGTTAATAATGCTGACTTTAGAAAAAGGAAAACAAGCAAAACTTAACAAAAAAAGAATTGTTTTATAGGACTGAATTCAAAGTTCTATTTATTAAACACATTTACTTACTGACATAATATATATGACTTCCTGTATCAAAAGGTGTGTATTTGATACCTTACACTGGGAACGGCCAGTACAAGATGTCTGGGGAAGAAAACCATGCACATACTAATAAGTAAGAAGATGGAAGCTAATCTAGGTCAATAGTTCTACATCTCTGGAGTACTTAAAGACCAAAATTGATGTATCTTTTCAAAGGTACCTGAGTTTAAAATTCATCAACTCTTCCATGTGTGAAATAATATTTGTAGGACTTATTAGGGACTGCAGGTAAGAGGCCATATTGGAAACAGGCATGAAGATCCCCTTTAGGATAGCAAAGTGAATCCCCCAAAAATGACCTGGAAGGAAGAGGGAAGTCCCTGCAGCAAATTCACTCCACAGAACAAGCTACCAAAATTTTAAGGCCATTTGAAGCATTTATATGTACAGGCTTTCATGTGATCAATGAAATTATAGTAAAAACAACCCTACAGAAGAATACAGTAGAAAAAATTCATATTACCCTAAGACTTGAAGTCAAGAATATATATTAATAATATGTGGTAAACCTCATTAATTGGCTAAAATATGTAAATGTACAATTACAACTAGGACTGAATAAACCCATACAAGCAAGGATTAAGAAAAAAAATATACTCTGCCAATATAGACATTAGAAAGAAATTATTTAATATTAAGCAATCTATTCTCAGAGTTATTTGGCTAAATTTTACTCACTTGTTCTTTTAGATCTTGTAAGTTTTTATCAGCATTGTGTTCACGTTCTGTTGCTTCCTGAAGTAGCCGTTTAAGGTCAGTAATGCTTTGGGTTTTTTTAGCAATATCCATTTCCATTTCCTTCATCTTAGTTTCATGCATCCTGTTAGTATTTTTATTTAGAAAAAGATAAGAGCAAAAGCTAATAATTTTGCAGAAATAGAGATTAAAATATCTTTAGGATATTAAATACCATAAAATACACTCCAAAATATGTTTACGGTATTGGCCTTGGAATAACCACTGGTTTTATTTATAAGTGAGCTGAAAGAAGCTTAATGAAAAATACATTTTTAATCTTAGAATAAAGGCTTTTCCAAATGTTACACCTTTGTGGATCTTACTTTGTGCCTATGCTTTATTAAAGGGGGGC